GTTAGTTTTTACATCATTTTTATATAAATATTTAAATAGTGTTTCATTACTAAACTTCATTAAGAATACTGATTTTTGCTATGAAGGTAGGATTAATCGTATTTATCTTAAATAGGGTATGAATTTTGGTAAATATTCAATTTTAATACGAATTTCTTATGTAGAAATTAATGATAAACATGAACTTTTTATAACGGTCCCTAGTGCTAAAGATTCTTCTGGTGTATGTTTTTTTTTATTATCAATTTATTTACATTATTTGGTGAGAATTTTCATTTGAAAAAAAATGCAATTATTTTTTCAGATTGATATATGGAATTTAACGAATCAAAAATTAATTGTATCTTCAATTGGACTCGATCAAAATCGTAAAACTGGTACTTTATCTTTTTTAAAAAGAGTTTCTCCTAATCGTGACATGCAAATCTGATACGCTACCTTATTTTACATTAAAAAAGGATACTGCATGGCCATAAAAATTTTTCCAAATAATAATTTTCAGAATTTTCAATCTGTTACTAAAAATTATTTAATATTAGCGGCTTATGAAGACGGTAGTGTTAATTTATGGTCAATTACTATTAATACTAATGATTCAGTGTCAAATGAAAAAGATAATATTGTCGTTGAAAAATTGTGGGATCGGAAGGAACACGGAGAAAGTGGTTAGTATAAATGGTCAGATATCTTATTTCTTCAAAAGGTTAATGTATATAGATATAAGGCAATTTATAACATTGGAAAATTCTTTAAAATAGTTTTAAGTATAGATCTTTCACCTGACAAACAATTCGCAATGTCAACTTCTGGAGACAATAAAATTGTGAAATATAATTTTGACGAGGTATTTTTTTTTTTTTTTAGTTTTCATAAATAAAAATAGCCATATTAAAAAAAAAACATGATAGAGATTTAGAGAACCATTGATCCAAAGTACTACTGTGAAATGCGCCGGTATTGCAGAAGTCAAAATTCGATCTGATGGGAAGATTTTTGCAACTGCTGGGTGGGATACAAAGTGTGTCATCGCTGTAATATTTTATAAAAACTATACATATATGTGAATTATGAGTATCAATTATTCAACTAATTGCACCAAATTATTTTACGTAAAAGGATACGTGTCTTTTCTTCAAAATCTTTGAAACCATTGGCAATATTATCTTATCATCGAGAGAGCGTTTATGCATTAGCTTTTTCTTGCATTTTACCATTGGACGAGCAAGATCATGATAAATCTACAGAGGAAGAGAAAGATCTTGGAAATGAAGAAAGGACAGAGAAGCATTATTTGGTTGGAGGTGGAAAAGATCAAAGAATCAGTTTATGGGAAATTTATTAAATGTTGTGAGAGGGATCATTTTTATTAATGGTGTTGTCACCTATACAAGGTTTCATTTTTGTAAGAATTATAACATTGTCATGAGATATGCAGTCATACATACATAGTCAATCTTGTTTGCGGTTGCTTCATTGAATAGATGAAACTTCAGTGGTGGCAATTGTTAGAGAATTTCAAATAAATTATAGATGTGGTATTTAGTTAGCTATGGGCTGAGAAAATTAAGTATTGATGTTATACATAATTGATGTAAAATTATACATATATAAATTTACAAATCATACAACAAATAATGCACGAGTAAAGGAATTTGTACAAACGTCAAAAACATTGTCACTTATTTGCATTAAAAATAACCGACTCATTTTTCTATTTTCAAAAATGCCAAATGCAGCAATTTTCTATCTGATTGAAGTATAACTTAAAGAAAATTACCTTTTAAAAAGCTTGATGATATTACAGAAGAATTTTATATACTTTAAACAAATGACGAGGACTATATCGGTAAAACAAATCTCCAAACCGTATATTTAGAAAGAGTGTGTATTTTTTTTAAAGGATCAGAACGGAACGTAAACGCATTTAGACACATTTAGTTAGAGAGGATCCATTGTGCAAGAATTTGTAAATAATAATGGCAACTTTTAAGTATTATAACAAATAGATATAAATGGTTAAATGCATATTATCAGTCAACTGAGAATAATCTTGTTACTGACATATTAAACCCATTATAATTTGTCCTTTTTAATGAATTTTAACACATTCTAAATAGACGACCGTTGTATAACACGAGAAATCAAGTTTTAAATTTTTATTGATTGAATGATTTTTATGGAAAATCTTTGGACATAACAAAATCGGAATTAATTCTCGAGTACGTCATAATAACTGCTCCAAAATTTAATTTCGAGTACTTAAAATATTTACATTACCAAGTACTTAAAGGCTTTTGATATAAAAAAGGTTTTTGAATACGAAAAATCATTTACATAATATCGTAATCCAAAATTAATTAAATTCTAAAGGGGAATGCTTACAGAAAAGGTGTTGAAAAATCAGTATTCTTAATGAAGTTTAGTAATGAAACACTATTTAAATATTTATATAAAAATGATGTAAAAACTAAC